GTAGACAATATAAGGTTGTCAAATATTTTGAGCAATCCGCTTCTTATTGCGACAAGAAAACAACAACACAAATCTCTTCTATTACATAAAATAAACATTATAGGAATATAGTGTGATATAACTCTTTTTTGAAAACAATACGACCCTCGAATCCTTTTTTTTAAACGACCGCATTTCATCGTTTATCGGAAATTGCATTGTTAATCTTCAACCGCATCTTTTTTGCATCGCCTTTTCATTGTTTCCACATCATTTGTGAATTAATGCTTTAAAAATACTGTATCTTTTATGCACGTAAAACGTTAAATAACGTACAAATATACCTCCTAAGTCCAACATTAGGCATTTTTCTCCAGATCTGGTCTCTTTTGGAAAATCTCCTGGCAAAGTTCTGTTTGCCGAAAGGTAGTAGTGGCAAAAGGTATAGGCAGCCTCTGGCTCCGAAATAATAGACACTTGTGTCTGTTTGATACCTCCCTGACAAACAAAACAATTAACTATACATCAAAACAAAACACAAACTTTATAACAACAAGTAAAACAGTACGGAAATGTTCTACCAAATTGCGACAGCAGAGTTGTTAGTTTTCCTACCTTAATTCGTATTTCATATTTTGATTATAATATTTCGAAACGACCTTTCTGGCACCACTTAATTTTTAGGTGTACAGCAACGTTTTTCAAAATAAGGAGCGTCGATGGTACGGTTTCCATGCTGGTAATTTTAGCAAAGTTCTTAAATTGGTACAGTTGTGCGATCGCATTTTACATGTATCGATTTGGGTCGTTTAAAAAACACCGAAAACATCATTTCTGAATTAAAAAGAATATAGCTTGAAATATCAGCTTATATATGTAGCTATATATAGCAATATACCTAAAATAAAAACAAACTATTATGTTTAAACATGATACCGTATTTATTGTTAAGCCATTTCTGAAATTACACCAACCGCGATTGACATCACACAACGTTCGTCCATCGTCCGCACAAATGTACGCAAGCATTATTCGCCTAGATTTCAATATACGATCGATAGATCGCACAGTTGTGAGCACCATGTGCGGACAGTGTGCGGACGGTGTGTGTACGATGTATGCACGATGTGAGCACGCTTTATTCGTTCGTTGTCACACAACTGTATCTGCTATTCTCTTCCGAAAGTTCAGCATTTAGAGTAAGCACAAAGACTACTTTCCCTGTTGTCAGTATGATATAACAAGATGCAATACTGTGCTGGGAATAATACGAATACGTTCTAGATATGCAGTTACAGGAATTCTGATATGGATTCCAACAAAACATTCAATTACATATAATTATATATTTATAGGTATCAATGTTGACTTTCTTCAGTCTGACCGTGTATTACACAAGGTATAGGGGTCTGTTACTGACGTCCTGATCAGGACCCAGGAGTTAATTCAGAGTAGTAGGTAGATGGTAGAAGGTATAAGAGAGAGAGGGGGGGGGGGGGGGGGGGGGGGGTCTTCCCGCGATCATAAGCTTTATTTCTGAAGTACGTGTGATGCGACATTTCCAAGTTAAGTCTCGATATCGGGTGTTCACATATCATCGTCACACACGTGTACTATTGTTTACTCGGTGTTACTACAATTTACACTACGGTAATTGAATGCCCGATACGCAATGAGGAAATGACGACACGAAAATACGTCAAGAAAAACATGTTTAGTACGAAGGGTGGGAAGTCCCTAATAATTGGACACAACATTAATTGTGATGTGTATCGAGCCAACAGCCAAAATGTGTGGCTAATATATGCTGGATAAAATGATTTATTAGTTTTTGTAAATTAAATGAAGGCTTTTTTTACAACCCTCACCAGCATCTTTCGACAGTCTTATCATCGCTTATTTTTTATTAAGGACAAAATCTTTTTCTTGTTTTCTGGCTGTTAGGACTACTCTGACTGATAGGTTTTAATTAATGAAATAACGATAAACATGATCAGTAAGACTACCTACTAATGGGTTTTAATTCATTTAATAACGATCAACACGATATGTAAAACAAAATATTTAATGATGATTTACCGTAATGGCTGCCTCTAGAATGAACTCTTTTGCTTTGTCGTCACACACAGCAGGGATAGTCAGTACGAACTTGATGTTATCCACAGTAATGCCACTAGAAGGGCTATCAATTTTACTTATGAAATGGTCTCTTAGGTAACGGATGGCATGGGAGAACATTTTTGTTGCTTGTAGCGTCCGGACCCCTCTATCCTCCTTGATTCTGGTGTCCATACGTAAATTCTAGGGATAAATTTTCAATAAAGATTTTCAGGGATTTCGAATTGAGCGTAGGCAATATGCAATATATCTTGGCAACGTGATGTTTGTGTACGTTGCAAAAGCTGTTCCACCTCTGGAAATGCATAAATGGTAATTCATACTGGACGCTGATATTTCTTTGATAAACGTTATCGTGAGCCGATTGACACTCAGTCATGTTTGTTTATTTGGTTGATCAATCATTTGCTGCGTTTTGCCAGACCGTCCAAAGGTCATATGAATGCAATTATAATCATGGCCAGCATGTCTATTTTTTCAAAAATGATTGTTAAATCAACAGTATTTGATAATAACGTTTGTTGATTTACAGATTTTAATGCAGTATTGGTCTCTTTTTTTAATTCAAATTCCTTGTCGACGTGTTTATATCAAAAGCGTACAAGGTTTGTATTTTTACCAATATAGTTATGATATAATGATTAATTGTTGTCATCATGTTTAACATACATGTATTAAAATCAGTCATATAAAGCATTCGTATATATTTTAATTCCTACTCAAGTTCGACTCAATGTAACTTCCAACTGTAACCTGTGTTATTTGCCGATGAATTTGACCAGATTGACATTGCCTGTGCGTATGATTTTGCGAAGGGGGATAACTGGTTGTGCAGAAAGTAAAACTTTGATATTTAATTATGTAATACATGAACTTGCATATATCATACAATTTATGTATGTACAATGTTAAACCATCACCTTTCTCTGTCCGTACACTTTTTTTAATTTGACACTTAAGACTTCAACAGTGTGTCTTGTAGTATCAAGGATGAGGTATTTGTCATGAATGCAAACACGTATAATCTGATGCATACGTCTTTCTTGTGTCGAAGAAATATAGCAATGTATTGTACCGAAATGGCCTTTTCAATTACTGAAACAACTGCAGTGTGAAAACATCAACCTTTAAAGGACTTCGATAACGAATAATACAGAAACTGCAAATTCATCAAACGGAATTCCATAGTGAGTTAATTTATCAGGACTTTAGATAAACTGTCTCCGTGGTTATGACAACTTTATTGCGACGCATTATTTGCATCATTCTGCTCTGGATATATTACGTGCGGCAACGGTGTTGCCATGCTAGAATAGCGTCTCTTACTGTGGGCTTGATATTTTTTATGACTTGCTAAGCGTCGGCGTGACGGCCAGGCGTTGATTAGATCTCTAAGAGTCGACTTGACCCCATTGCGTTGACCGTTATTGATTTTGATCTTTTTCTTCCATTTTCTTTCAGTTGTTGAAGGTTTCCGGCTAATGTAAGATGGCGTTATGTAGCCGGCGGGCTAGTTTTTGTTGACGCCATGTGTTTCCAACTAAGGTTAAGTTATGTTATCTCGCCGGCGAGTCATTTGTCATGACGTCATTGCTTTTACTGCTTTGTGAGATAGTTCTAACGGGTCAGGTTTCATGACGTTATCGATTTTTAGCATTTTATTACATGACGTTATGTAGCTAGCGGGCTATTTTTCATGACGTCTTCGAATTTTTGGCTCAAGTAAGAATACGTTACCTACAACGAATGTACCTGTGAAAGGAAACTTTGTATCGAAGTCGTATAAAAGGAATGTGTCGCTGGATTAAAATTCTGGATGATGTAAGTTTTTCAATATTTTTTTAACAAAAACTGTTCTAGTTTTTAACAAATTTTATTGTTCTTTACACAATTTTTAGATTGCAATACAAATCTTCTATTTTTAGTAAAAGGTTTTCTTGGAATCATTTTTTTTAAAATCCAAACTTCATACTGTATAGCGTTTATGGCGTTATATTGTGCGATTTCGCTGTGTTGTGTGATGATAAAGTATGGCGTTTTTGTTTGACGTTATTCCTGGCGTTGTCTTGGCCCTTTTAAAAAAAAATAAACACACTCTATCATAAAATTAATCTTGAGAGTATGGCAGAAATGTCCACTTTCGGAGGAAATCCTTGACAGTCTAACCCCCAGCCAAGACTCTTGAATTTCCTCCTTGGGTAAAGATTTATCTATCTTACCCTCATAATAGGGGAATTGTATTATCTCTTACTTGACCGTGAAAGACAGGAATTTCCTCGAGAAAACATAAACCTGTCTTCCCAAACGCGGTATGACGCCATGTCCTCTGTCGCAAGTCCAGTTTGCCAAATGACGTCGGCGTTGTAAAAACGTTATGTTGTGTTGACTGAGATAAATGAAATGTTTTTTTTTACTTATTATAAGAGAAATTATCTGAAATATTACAGTTTATTGAAATTGTTGTGAACTTAATGATTTTAATGGATTTATAATTTGCTTAGGGTTCATCATCCATTTGAAATAAACATAACTGTATTCATTGTATTTACACGCCTGCCACGGAATACAAGAGTGTGAACAGGTGTAGAGTAATGCCACTGGTATGTTTATTTATGGGAGAGTATACTATACAACATTTGATATAGCACCCTATCTAGCTAGAATAAGCCACTCTAAAGCGCTTTATAGTACATAAACATACAATTAATACAATTAGCATATACATCTATCAATAAAATTTTGAAGAATTCGCATGAGCTGCCTTATCGCTAAAAACTAATCCTATATCACCTGGATAATGTTTCTCTTTGTGTATATGCCTGTGTGTTGGACGTGTATTGTATATTTGAGAAATAAAACCAATGTGTGTGACCCTTAGACAGTGACATCGCAACCTTTCGGATTTATGTAAGAGTTTGACTGTCAAGCACTCGGCGAAACCTCGTAGTGAACAGCTCTGGACCCTCGGAGTAAGATTTCCCCTGTCAGCGGATCACACTTATGCAGGTTATGGTTGTCTAACACAAGCCGAAAGCACGCCGCACATGCCATACACGCCATAGAATATGAACTCATGAAATCTAGCGTTAAAATAACTAAACAAATAATAGAAATGTAGATAACCCCACGTCAACATAAGGTCAAGACGAATTGATCAAGTTAACGCTGGAGGATAACGTCTGCGCTAAGCGAGTCACAGTAACTATTAAGCCTACAGTAAGTGACGCCATCTTGACGTAACAACGCCGTTGTTCTTGAAGACGTATTTTTTGGCGTAACAAGGTCGTTGTTTAGATGTCATTAGAAATTGTGACAAAAATATTGTTGGCTAAATGAATTATTTCTAGCACGGCCAATGACAGATGAACATTCAATTAAAGACAGTATTTCAATATCAAGTTCTCATGTAGACTCGAGTTAGTTCAAGTATATCCAGTAAATAATATGTAGACTTACACATGTTCCAAACATAACAAGAGAGTTTAATTGACCTATAAGGATTTAATATTGTTTGGTCGGTTCTATTGAGTATAAAATTATTAGATTTCGAGACAAGTGTGTGTCTCAAGATAACTTGAATTCCAAACCAATGAAAGTGACAACAATCCTTAAAATAACCAGATCAAATAATTAGCAACCAAAATAGAAATACTGACGGCTATTTGGCGGGAAATAGTTTCGGTGAACAAGTCTGGATAACCTGCATGTTTTTATGAGGAAAATAATGATTTTTTTTTTCTGAATTAAAATGGCATCTTTTTCGGGTATAAAAGAAGAAAACAATTATACCGTATAAAACAGAGGATACGTTGTGGCATTCAGGACAGCTAGCTTCAGTTCTCTGTAACAACCGTTATTATCTATAAACACTTGCCTTACGGAGGATCGTTTGGAAACGGCGAAAATAGTAGTAATCCTTGTGTTCATCCTCCTCTGCTAGTTGTGAATAGTTTTTCTCTGCGTTATAGCCAAAGGAGTTGAAGGTTTGATCAGGGTTGAGGAGTAGAGCTGTTGGTGTTTTGTGCAAAATTAGGGACCCAGAGCCAGCGTTCCATCCACTGGCAAATATCTTCAGTGGCTTCTTTTGGAAGTCGCCGTGGAAAGAGAAGGCATATCCGGAGTATGTGTTACCAATATCTATTGCAGCCACGCAGATAGTCGTATATAGTTCACCCCTTGACGCTGCCATTGGGCTGTAGGAATAAAGCTTCATAATGATTGCTTCCATTGGGTTGAAATATTCTACAAAGCATATCATTAAGGTTATAATATAGCATACTTTTATTGTATTCATTACCTTATGTTTTGATTTTTGCTATTCTCCTTATGATAATTTTTTCTAGTTTATATCGTAAAACTCATAAAATACAATATGACATAGGTGATGACGTCATATACTGGACTATTTCCTGCGGCATTTGTAATTATTGCTTACAATTGGTGATGAAATTATATCGCACAGCTGTAATTGTTTTTTGCTTAATATTTAAAGGAATAAGAAAACTTGTCAATGTAGAAGTTTCTAAAGAGTCTGTTTTTCATCCGTTTCTCTTCATTTTCTTTATAAGTGACATCACTAATATAGCTACATGTACCAAAAAGCATTTTTTTTTGTTGATGATTCGTCCCTCTGTATAATGTTTGATGATAATTATAAAACTAAAACAATGGTCTTTATAAGGAAAACAAAATATGTAAACCCTCCAAAATTCTTTTCTCATCGACCATTACTGAAAGTACTAACCAAAACCATTTCGGTCTTACTTTTAATGAAGGTGACAAATGGGGTCAACATATACAAAATATGTATAATATTGCATATAAAAGATTTGATATACAAAATGTATCAAGACGCCTCTAAACCTCGCTTGATAGAATTACACTGAAAATGTATAAATCTTATGTAAGAACAATATAAGAAACTAATGATAAAAAACTAAGATAGAATCTCAGATGAAAGAAAAAATCGTTCACCTTACTTAATAATACTCACTCACACTATCCTTTGCATACTATACTTAATGACTATAGGTATTATGATATTGATATAAGTATTATGATATTGAAACTAAAAAAACATATCATAGTAATAGTTTAAGCCTTTAATCCAAACTCAAAACGGTTTATATAAATAGAATTATAGATATGTTTTAATAGTGATAATATGATAAACATGACTATATCAGTTAAACGTGTTTTGTATTGTTAGAAAAGGTTGAGTGTTCTCTATCTGGCTGTTATCAAAATCGGTTTTTTATTTACTAATATTCACAGTTTAAGTATGGTATGATCACCAATAAATCAACAACGACAAGCAACAGAACTAACGAGCTAATATATAAATTGTGATGTGAATATATACGCTACAAGATTGGTTTATCTTCAGCACTACAAGAAACATTTTTTGTTTCACAACTATATGCTATGATTGATTATTTTATATTGCAATATATAAGTTTTTTTACATGCCTTTAAAGTAATTTCGATTTTTATGAAAACATTGTTACATGGGAGCTAACTCTTTTTGTTCTGCAAAACAATCCGCAACATTCAAATTAGTATCAACTTAATTTTAGGATGTTGAGGATACTAAATAAACAATATAAGAATGTAAGTATAACCGTAGAAATCAGACATACGAACTCTTTTGCAAAATTGAAATAATGCCTGATACCAAACACTCACCCCTTTACCTAAGGTAATTAAAGTATAAATGCGTAATGTATGATTAATCAACAACGGAAATAACGAAAGTGGAAAATATCATACCTTGGAGTGAGCTGATTATTCCGCCTTTCACTAACACAATGTCTGCGGTGAAATGATGTTCTTAAACTGCTCAATACTGAGATGTCAATTACAAATTAGGAATTCGGTGGTAAATATAGGTTTATCTACACGGAAAGTCATTGGTGTCGTCCACAAATCAACCTGCCGGCCTTGCTTTAGGTGAAGGCTAATCTCTTGGCACGCCTGTTTGTAGGGGGAAAAATCGATGATCATGAATAGAGGTTCAATAAGGGTGAAAACTTGAAAATAACATAGTTCATGTACAATAATTAAAAAACGTTTTTTTTTTTTTGTATCTTTATAACGTATATGTATGATTTTACCGTTTACTTGATTATTTAAAAAAAACCTTATATCTGTCGCTCTGCGTGACATGTACATACTACAGTGTACAATATATGTATATGGATGCGAGACCCGTACTTGTACATTAGTTAGAGGTGGGGGTCTCTGCAGATTTCATGTAAAATTGATTTAAGCTGATCCAGCTTATTGAGACGCATCTAGACACTGTTCTGAAACTAGGTCCGGTATAAGATAGGTTGTTCACTATAGTTACAGTGATAGCAATACCTCCCGTGTAAAAGAAAAAAGAATACTTGCATGGCCATTAACAGCATTATACCAACTTTGTATTGTGACAGTGAATCAAATTATCAATTTTTCAAATATCGATTAACTTACGAACCATATCTGCCATCCTCAAACATTTCAACAAGCAACATTTTAAGCAATCTTGTTACTCTCGTTGTGCAAAAATGTTGGACAGTACAAATAGCAGAAAGAAGGGCTCTGACAAGCCAGAAAATATCAGATATCAAAAAGAATAACAAATATTTGAAAAAAAAGATAGCAAAACAACAACAACATAGGTCTGTCTAGTTATACATTAAATACATAAATGAATTAAGAAAATGAAATCATGTCATTGTCAATATAAAGATAACAGAAATGACATACGGTCTCTTTAACGAGACCTGCTAAGATAGAATTGGAATACGACAACTGGATTCAGCAGTTTCAACCACACCAGTAATATGTCTAGAGCACTACGTGGCCCCTGGCCTCTCGTTTCTGTATGTAAATGTTACGGTGACGAGGCATGTTTTTGATAGTGCTTAGCACTTATCAGTGATATATGTGTGTGCTTTTACCGCGAGACTGTAAATATGTTCTGTCATATCAATGGATCAATAACGTATTTAAATGTTTGAATTCTTCTTTCAATAATGAAAGCCATATTTATACTTGCAACACCAAACGCTTTGTTAAGCACGTACACCTGCCGTCTGGTCGACATTTTTTGTCTATACCGAAATGGTAGATTCTCTCTACCTTTCAATTATAGTAAAGCACAGGACCCACTGGTTTATTGGAAACCTAATACAGTTTATAAAGTTTGATGATAAGGTAACAGAGGGTTTTCTTTACAAAAAATACATATTCAACTTAACAGTTCTAAACCTAAAATGCTTAAGTTAAGAAGAACTTCCGAAAAAACACAGCGTCAATATCTTACTAGTCTGAGTAGTAATACCTATTTTGGTTCTCGTGTCAATTCTTCACATGTATTTCTATTAACGTCTCAGCATTAAAAAAAAACATATGTTGTTGTGTAAATGTTTTTTCATATTATTATTACGGTTACGAGGAATGTGTTTCATAGGGCTAAGCATGTAGACAGAAGACGTATAAGATGTGCTTATCAGTGATATATGTGTGAGATTTGACCGAGAGACACTCATCAAATGCATTCATTAACAGCTGTAAATACTTGTTACCAGACTATTGACCGAGCAATAACCTATTAAAAGAAATAAGTATGTGCACATTGTAAATATTTGCCTTGGTTCGCTCTTCTCCTTCAAAGCACCATATTCTATTTACTTGAGTCAAATTCGTATATAATTTATTATCAATGAAAATACAAGTTGACGCTTTCCAGAGCATTGCGCCGAAATCATTTAGAACCCACAGCCTGTTCGAAAAGGTCACTTTTATCAAGGGAAAGTGGCAGTTTTTGCGGGTATTTTGCGCCAAGTTTCATAATAACTCATGTGGATAACCTTCATAGAAAATATAACGACACAATTTAAATACCTATGATGTACCTTCGTATTGTAATATCCATTAACCAATCGTACCGAATCGCACTTTATGCGGCCATTCGCGCACAGGGAAGCGAGCAGTTGTTAAATCACAATATTAAGCGTATCATCTGTGGACGAGGTGTGCACGATGTGTACACGATGGGCGGACGCCAATTTTGATAGGATGTGCGATTACACAACTATAAAATGACGATATCAACGACGTTTATGAAATAGATAAACAGCGCGGGTAGTCGTGCAGATAGTGTTATTTTTTTGTGTTAACTTTGCACGTCATTTATGATACAGTTTACGATTGGCATCTTGACGTTATCAGTTAAAGAGATAATTACTTTTATCTTGTAGATAGACGTGCTGTCTGGAGCCGTCACCTTTTTATGGCCGGTTTCTCTGTCCACGAGGCTAATTTCTTTCCGGGTAGATATCCTTATATCTAACAACTGTAATTCGAACTTGTTATTAACATCTTAGGTATGGCCAGTATACGGAGAGCATTCAACTCTAGTCATCGCCACAGTAGAATGCGAAATCGTCAGCTCAATCGAAGGTAAAGTAGTGTTTTCTGCTGTCATGAATACCGTTATCAGTATCAGAGGTTATTGCACATTTCCATACTGGCCTACATGCCTTGACCCTACTAAACTGCACTTTTTAAGGAAATTATGCACATACCTTTTTTACATCAGTGCATTGTCTATGAATGTGTTTTGTATTTTCTACTAAGGGAATCAATGAGGACAAAAATTGATATACCCCTCCCAACCTAGCGATACTTTGTTGTCTTCCTACTTACTTTCTATACGACATTGTCTTTTAGGACGTCTCTAGTAATCAATTTGGAAGAATAAAGTGACCAGTTGGAGTGTCATGTTGTCATGTCAGAGCTACAAATGTATGAAATATAATGAGATTGCAATTAGTAAAGACCCGCGAGTGGCTTAACTATTTGTTAACGAACCTTATATCTTTCGAGGACGTTATCTAATGGGGAAAATCTGTGTTACATTGAGTATATAGAAGTTGTATCGACAACAAGCCTTTACAACGCCAATGCTTTAAACAATCTGGTTATAAGAAAAGGTATATTTTCCAACATATGTAAATTTGAAACCAACCCATAAACAATTGAAAACATATTGGGAAATGTATCATCTGCGTGTATAATTTTAAAAGACCATTTTTAGTTTTGTTTTGCATATTCATTAACAAAGATTTTACAATATGCTTCCATGATCCCAATTTGAAAAGTCTTATTTTGATATGAGTCAGAATTTTGTTCATCCTTTCAGGCTGGGTATTAAGAATGGAATAT